TTGGAAAATGGTCACTTGGAAGACAGAAGAAGATGGAAGGATAACACTGAAATGAAATGGACTGAACTGACTCTGGATCATGTCTTTTGGTAGTACCTGTGTTAATCTTTTGGACACTGTTACCAGGGAGTTAGTTCTTTTTCTGTTTGTTTGCATAAATTCAGCTGTTGCAACAACAACAAAGCCTTACTTACCCTTGTCCTATGCTAGCCCCTAAGGCATAGCCATACTCCCCTCTTCGAAGGAATCCTACAACTTGATCATCTCTCCAAATGGTTTCCAGACCCCAGACTGGAATTTGTCTGAAAATTGAAGTTTATTGGATTTTGATTTGAGGAATAACTCTGAAACTAGTATCAATTTGGACTAGGAAACATGTACTTACTTCTTTGTCTGCTTGACAATAGCCTAAGATCTATTATCCTAAAAATATAAATCATAGTTAAAGCTCTTGCTGTTATGGATGTAACGTCTGGTAAATACAGCGTGTGTAGTATATAGTGGTATTCTTTGTTGAAAACTGAACAGTAACGGAATAATCCATATGGGGCCTAAATTTCTTTGTTACTGAGATATAACATGGTTTACAACTCAAAATTTGTCACAATGAAAGAGTAAGCATAAACATAATTGTAATAAAACATTATTAGTGAATTTACTCTGTCAAACAAAAGAAATGCACTTAAAATTTTCAAAGTCCAAAACTGTAAGTGATATAAATGCACAGCTGGTGTCATAACTCCATTCATTCATAATTTATTTGCCTTTATCCATGTGTGGCTTTTATCTGCCTTTCATTAATTAGTTATTGATGCTGGATGTCTATTAAGAAACCAATATGTCTGCTTAATTTGAAAAAAACTATGAATTAATGTTAATAACTTTCTTAAGATGTGCAACTAGATTCCATGGCATAATGAAAGTGCAGCCTATATTTCAATTGGGCATCCATATTAGCTGGTAAAAAAATTGGTACAATAGGAGATGCATTAATGCAAAGGTCAAATATGCAAGTTCAAGTTCTGGTGTTGCCATATACATCAATGTATGTATTTTATTTGCACAATTACCTATTTAAACTGTGCAGTTGTATGTTATTCAACTATGGTACATGTTTAAAAATTTCCAAGTGGAACTCATACCAAGAACAGTTGGAAATGGATACTGAAATATGCAGATTGTGATATTTGAAAGAGAATGTGTAGGCCTAATTACTGTGTCTGTAAAGCATGCATAGTCAAGCAATTTATGTTAATGAACAAAAAGTAATTGTCAGTATTATCATACACACATTATCACTATTATTTGTGCTGCATTGGCAAGACTAAACATATGAGGGAATCAGGTATTTCTTTCATTTTTCCATGATTTGTTCATTGGCATTCCCAATTAAGAGTTATGTGTTTGAATCTGGCTATAAACAATCAATTTTATTTAAAAAAGAGGCATTTTTTGTTTCTTAAATGTAACCTAAAATCTTAATGTAATTATCTAAAAGCAAAAAGAGAATCACCATGCATTTTGATCAAAGGGAAATAATTCTGAACTATCTGATTTATTTTGTTTGTGGTTTGTTTAACTATAGTGCTGAATGATAGGATGAATAATGAATGTGAAAGGACACAGAATGAAATGGTCATAGCCTAATTTAAGGTACTATCCCGGAATTTTCGTGGAGGGTCTGAGTAAAATCACGCGAAACCTCCTTCATAAGTACGTTGTTAAGACTCAAGTGCAATTTTTTTATTTGCAGACCATGAATAGTAATTGAAAATCATACCTTTACATCAAAAAAGTAATTAAATGACAAACATGTTATTTCACTCTTGGGAAAACTAAAACAATATATATCATGTAGTTAAAAATGTGTAATCCAGTTATGCATCCAGAATAAATACAGTACTATTTATGGATGATGTATACATACAAAAAACATTAATTTTGAATTTGTTACTGTTATTTGGGTACCTGTCTCCAATGGAAAAAAAATCCCTGCCTCTTTCATTTCAATTATAGATAAGTTTCACTGTGATATGATGACAATGTTTTGTATAGCCATTAAATAAAAGATACAATAATAATGAATACAAAATTAATTATTATATTATTAATAACATTCCTGGCTACTGTTGCACTTACTTTTGAAGCTGAAAGAATGCCAGCTTTTTCTTCAAACCCTTTTGCTTGATCACATCCAGAGCTTCCTTGCCAACATAATCACCATCCTCTCGGCAAATTAAATCCAGTCCTGCTTCTAATGGATTGTCATCAGTCCGCAAGTCAGCATTCCATAAGTGATAACCTGTAACCAGCAATATTTATTGAAAAAAAAGGAAAGAAAAGCATGACTTTACCAGATACAGAATACTTACATCTCCGTCTTCAGGACTGAGCAAGGTTTTTGGGAAGTGAATAGCTTATATAGGGTCAGGAAAAGAAGTAGGCTAAGAGGAATTGGCAAATTAAAGTTGAGGAATGAGGAGGCGATAGTCTGGCCAGCAGAAAGTTCTCATTAGGTCCTTAAGACCACAAAGGAAGTGGACTTAAGACCAGTGACAGGTGCTAGTTAACACTTAGGTTCCATGAAAGATGGACAGTTTCTCAACAAGAGCAACTATTTACTTATCAAGGACTCTGCTCCATGGAGTTGCTTGGGTGGTGTTTAACTTGAGGTTTTATAACAACATGAAATTTATTGATCAGCTGAACAGCTATTAAATGTTGAAGGAATACCTTGTACCCTGTAATTGGTACTGTGATCCACAGGACTTTACATATGTAGGGCCAGGATGTTCTCGCCTCGGTGGAGGGCTTTGGTTAATTCGGTGATGAACCTTCAGGTTCGGTAAGCCATCTAGTTAGTTGGTTACTTAATTAACCACTGTATCTAGACATGGATTTTCTCTCTTGTTTTCTTTGAATCATGACAATGGCATGAGTCTCTGAGAATGTGCTTGCAAATGAAGTGGAATTCATCCATTACTAGACTTTGTCATGCTTTCCACAGAAAGGGATTTTGTGTTTGGGAGGTGCCATTTTTTTAGTCATAACTGGGCTACCAGTTCTCCTGACTGAGTACTTCTATGGTTTTTCTCTGTTTCCAGGATAGTACCTTCAAACAGGCTGCAACTACCTTCTTCCAGATCCTTACCTACTACTCATTCACAATCATCATGCCATCTAATTTGATGATATTGTACCAATGCACTTGCATTAGAACATTGATGTGTTTTATATTACCAGGACAGACATTCATGTGAAAGTGGAAAACAGAAATACTTACTCACATACCCATTTGACTGAAAGATGTTAATAAGATTACTGTCTTTCAGGTGAAAGTAACTCACCTTTTTCACTGCTGAGAGAATTCAGAGCTCTGTATCCTGCATGCCTTAGACCATATTTCTTTCCCTGTTCCAAGATAGCTTTATAGACTGAAGAACATGAGTCCCATGGTATATGAAGCTGCCATCCCAATTCTCCAACTGAACTAATTCGCACTGCCCGGCATAAGTGGTCTGCTACTCGAACTAGATGGGTGGTAGAATATGGAAACTCTTCATCACCTAAACTTGTATTCACTAATGGCTGAAGCACATCACGGCTGAAAGGGATTAAAACAATCTCTAAAATGTATTTTTTATGTGTATGTGCTTTGTACCACTTTTGAACTTGAACTACTCTTCATCACTGTCATACATTGGATGAATGAAGCAACCATTATGCAGTGCCATGACAGCAAAAAAACAACGTGAATATACGTATATTCAAAAGATTGTCATAATAAATATTTTCTTTATTTCAGTACATTTATTTAAAAGAAAAGGCAAGCAAAGGGAAATTTTAATAGTTACACAAAATTGTACAAACTGTACTGTAGTTACAAGTACAATTTGTCTAAACTTAGAATACAGTGAACCTGAAAATTATTAAAATTATACGTTTAAGAGACACAAATATATTCCTTATTTCATTCTCTAATTATTGTTCTTTGCACATTTTAGCAACAAATTACTTTTTATTATAAGAAAAAGTATTATTTTACCATACTGTTTGTCCTACCAGAAAGGAAAACTATGATTCCAGAAACTCAGTAGCATCTCATAAATGTATGTATTTTTGACATTTACAGCTTGTTTGGTGGGACATGAACTATGCCCTTTTTTTTCTACTCAAGTAAGTACTGCACAACTCAAGGCCATGGCTCATGTCCTACCAAACTAGCTACACCTTTTCTCATGATTCCAAAGAGCCTTTTAATAACAAAATTAATAACAGACAGAAAATATATCAGCACATTAGTTAAAGCAAGAGAGAGTCCAAAAGAAGATAAAATTTGGTCTCATTGTCTCTGTGTGTGTTTGTGTAGGATCTAGTTCAGTTGAATGTGTTTGATGAGAATTCTTCAGAGTTGAATTCAGTTAAAGTGAAGCCATATTATCCATCAACTTGACTGACCAGTAAGTCAATTTTTAAAGTAATTCAGTGTAAAAAAACAACAAACCTATTTGGTCCTTGAACTGAGAGTACTCCAATCTTCTCTGACAGATCTGTCAGGCCGACTTTGAAATTCTTTTCACTCAGTATGCGATAAATATGTGCCCATGTATGGTATGCGGACAGGCCATTGGTAACAATGTAGAACCCTCGGCCCTGATAGAATAAAAAATAAGATCGGAGTATGTCACATTATAAATAATACAGTATACAGTGCTTTGTTATCTGTTCAAACAAAAGCTTATGTACTGGCTCAATGCTTTATTGTAAGGGTTCTCAACCTTTTTCAGACTTGAGGCAATATTCATGTTTTATTGCTAACTTTCTGTCCACTAAGTTATAAGTAAGGGCAATTTACTGAAACATCTTGACAGTCTGTATTAAAATACTACTACATTAGGCTTACTATTGCAAATAGGTGCACACATTACTCAGCAGTTTTCTCTAACAAGATCAATCATTGTGATATTTAACACTGCTTTTGCTTGAGAATATCATGTTTAATATCTGTTGCATTCATCCCTTGACATTTTAATTACTAAGATGCATCCTAGTTCTTGATTTAATATTCTTTATTAAGCTTAACAGATGCTCACAGTAACAGTTATTGCCAAAATACTGGCATTAAACAGGTGACAAAGTATCACAGAAAATGAAAGCAGGCCACATGAAACACAACAGGTCACAGGTTTAGAATCCCTGCATGATTGAATTGTTTAATTTTAGTCAAAGACTATGTTTCTCTTTCTCTAAAATGATGTTCTGGAAAGTACCTCCAATGTCAGCATTAAAAATACAGTACAAAGGCACACTATACAGAAATAAATGCTGTTTTGTATCAGTTATGAATACAAACCTGTTACATGTACACATAGTGGTTGTCACATTGTATAATGGCTGCCATTATAGAGCAAGTTCTTGCACAGAAGAAGATAGCCACATAAATCTACAAAATGCTTAAATCTGAATTTAGAGAAGAAATTTTCAGTTGCACTAAAACATCTGAGTGATCTGTTCAGTTTGAAAACAGCAAAACATTCATGACATTTGATTCAAGAACTAGCCATCCATAATAATTACTAATTAATTAACTATGTGGCTTATGGAACCTTAAAGTTCATTGAATTAACCAAAGCCCTCTGTCAGACCCTGTCCTGGGTCAACAAAATCCAGTCTCCTTCAACTCCTATCTCCCACAGATCCTGCCTGATATTATCCTCTCATCTACGTCTACGTATCCCAGTGGTCTCTTTCCTTCAGGTTTCCCAACCAATACCTGATGCACACCTCTTGCCAGACAGTCCCACACATATACCTACCCAGTGTCTGTGTTTGAAGCTGAGTGTGAGCCAGTGGGAGCTAGCAGGCACAGCTACTTTTGACATACCCAGAACCAAACACAAATTAGTCCTACCCCTCAACAGGCTGGGAATTCCATCCTCTGGCTCTCTCCGGCAATGCACTCTGCATGGCGGACACACACAGACTTCCCCACCGCACTGCCTCTTTAGGGCAACAAAGCCTGCGTCTCCAAAGATCGTGGAGATGGGGGAGATAGACCACTCCGAGCCATGAGGCATGGCTCAATGTTATAAGTAAGAACTTAACTTACATAGCAGCTGTGTAAGGAACGGTTACCTGTTATTTCTTTCTGCACATTGAAACTTTACTTAGCAAGAGACAGAGACCATTAAGGAAACTCATGGCACCTAACTCCTTGTGGCATGAATGGTATTATACCCTTAACGGCAGAACTGTAAATGAATGGGAATCAATACCTGGAACTGACCTTGAAGATGGGATCTACAAGTCCCCCAGTTCCAGTTTCTATAGCACTGACAATGACATCTGCTTCAACTCCGGCCTTAGTATTAAGTAGACAAGTGTACACAGTTCTGGAAATAGGATGATGAGTATCAGCTGTGAACAACCAGTCTGCTGCCTTCTGGGCATCAGGTCCACACATGTACAGTTTTCCAAATTGTGACATGTCAAAAAGTGCAACTTGCTCACGACATGCCAGACACTCCTCACCAATCTGAGAAGAGAAAAATTATTACATAAACAATAAACATACCTCTAATATACAGTCATTCTCTCCCAATAAAAGGACCTAACACATAAAAGATACACACTTGGATTAACCTTTTAAAGCCCAATTGTAACTACAAGCACCAACTGCTTTAACAATCAGTAAATCTTCATTTCAAATTTATGGGTTTTGTATGATACTCAGTGTAAACAGTGATTATTTCCTTAAACAACATTAACCAATTAATATTTGTGATGTTGAAGAGTTGTTTTTTCTAGGTGGTATCGATTGAATTAATAAACAACATTTACATAAACTTCAGAGATTTGTTACAGGATGGCCAGGTTCCGAATCCTGGCAGGGACAGGGATTTTTCTGTCACCACATCGAAAACCAGTCCTACAGCCCACCCTGCATCTTATCCAATTATCCAGTGAAAATCAGGGGCTCTTTTCCTAAATTTCTTCATGTGTAGTGTTACTTTTATACAAATAAATTATGTTCTTGAAACCAAGTTTTATAATATGTTTGATTTTAGCAACTCAATGTGACAAAGTAGAATATGTCAACAACAACAATAACAGTAAGAATAATCTGAACCAACTCTGTACTCAAGTCTCACTGAGAATGTAGTTCTTTAACATTTATATAGAAGACAAGTCAAATAAGACCCCAGACTTAACAGATATTCTGTTTTGAAATTCCTTTTTAAAAGGTGATACTATAATAATGCTTGTCCCTGCTCTTAAACATACAATGAACAGAAAAATAACAGAGAATTACATTGTGGATCTATTTCTCACTCAGGGGGTTTGTATCCATAGGCTGGATAATCCAATTGAGGATTCTGTTGATTTCCCAGAGTCTCATCAGGCAGATGCACCACTATTGTCTGTTTCCTAATTA